GGAGCAAGCCATCACAGAAATTTTTCACATTTTACGTCTCTAATAAAAGTTTATGCTTGGAGGATTTGAATCCGATTGAACGAATCAGTTCATTCCGAACTCATTAGGATGAGAAACACTGTACCAGTTTCTGACCGAACTGTTGGAATGAAACGGGAATCCTCTGTTCCTTAATGATGCTGGTTACTAGAGCCCAAAACCCTCCGTTTTCCTCCAACTATCACGGTTAAAAGCTGTCAACTGCCTGCGTAGACAAGTTTCTCCCACCCGAAATAATCCCCACTTTGCACTGAAAACGCCGAAAAACCACGTTTTCAACCCTAATTACCACAAGTTTTATCGTGTCACTTTTCTTGCTGACGGAACAGAATAGAATAGTTTAGAACAGCATAGCACAGTTTAAGGGGGTAGAATAGAAAGGAACAGAATAGGCCTCAAACGAGAGACGTACAGGATAGAATAGAATAGAGTCGTTTTTGGAGAGGAATGGAACAAAATAGAACAGTCTTCGAAAACGTAAGATAGAAACACCACTAGGCCAGACGGGTAATGAATAAATGAAAGGAACAAATAATTAATGAATAAAACAAATGACATTCAAGTTAGAATCGTTCTATTAGTCACGAAACGAACTTTGATGTCGATCGAGAATTCAAACAAACAAAATCACAAAATTCTGATTCAATCACAACAGAAATGAAACACAAAATAATTCAAGATAAAGAATGTACTATAATTAAAAATCAGAACAATAATAATGATCGATGACGATAATAAACAACGATAGTAATAACAATAGTAAAGTTGACGACTGTAATAGAAACATACCAAAACGAGTGTAAAAACGACAAAACATATACAAAATGGTATCAGTGTCTGTGGAAGTACAGCAATAACGATAACGCAAGTGACTATCACCTCTTGATATGAACCCAAAAATTCTTCACCTGATTCTGGTAAGTGAAAATCGACAATTTCTACATCCTGAACATTATCAACCTTAAATACTGATTAGAGACTGACAAAATTGCGATAAAATGCAACGTAAAACCAAATTCAATTGCAATTCAGATAGCGACGTTGGATTGAAGTAATTGGTTGAGCTTATTGTTAGACAGATATCCATCCTTATAAACCTTTACCTCACCTCCTCTTTTACTGGAAATATGGAGTGATGATAATGGAAAGATGGAGAGAAAGAGATAAAACCACATCAAACAAGGTTTCCTTCTAAGATATGCAGATGCAATGATAAAAAAGAATGCGCTTTTTTTGATATATGATGTTTTTAGCTCGATGCTTCTTACAGAGGAAGAAATTGCCTCCTGGATGCGAATTTGACGATGCACGAGGGAACTGCGGAAGTCGACTAATCACTGCTGATTGATTTTTTCATCACTTTTCAATAGAGAGCGTTTCTAAAATCCTTGTATGAACGCAACAAATTGATTGCATTGATAGGACCGATGAATCCTTCATCATCTATGGATGAATTTCTTAACTTTATCGTTAGGATGTAATAGAATGTCAGATGTGGAGGCAGAAGGGAGGAGGGGGAATTGCAGCGCCAATACGATTAAAAGGAAGCGCTGAGTGCAAAAGCATCAGAATCACTGATATATACAAGGATTGGACTTCGTATGCGTACATATACAAGATGCTAAAGAAGCAACGCTCTGTTTTTATCCATTTGTTTTTGATGAGCAAATTCTAATAATGATAGTTTTTAAAATGTTGATTATCATATTAGAGTGTGAAAAAAAACGAATTGTATCTCACAGTAATCGAAAGAAAAAATCTAGTGGATATGCCCAAAATGAAGAATGAATGAAGAAAAAGAAATAAATGATATTACAATTAAAAAGGGCATCACTTTTGCTGCGCCTTGCAAATAACACATATATGTAGTCATAACAGTTACACAACCAGATGAAACATTACAACAAACAAACAATTTTGAATGAAATAACAAATATGAAATGCAATTCCAATTAATGAATAACATATCGATACGGATCACTTCAATCACCCATCCAACCCCATCTACTCTCTACAATAGGAAGCAAACTCAATTCATTTCGACTATCATTAACTGCCTTAAACTACCTCAAAGTCTACTCACTCACATGTTATCCTCATTATTATTATAATACTGCTATGATTATTGTTAACATCATTACCAGTTCTCAGATCCTCTTCAGTACCATAGTACAACTTCATAATTAAAACAAATTTTAAGTGTACGATTAAGAAGTAAAATATGAAATGAAAAGTAAAAACATTCAGCTTAAATAATAACAATAATAAATAGACCTTTCCGAATCTGTTCAGAATGCGCCCAATAGGGGTAACATCAAAGAATTGCATCGGTGAATGTAATATATTTCTTAAAATACCTTCATGTAATGTGCGACTTGCGTGTACCATACCTAATGCCATTATTATGGACGCTGCACAAATGGATACCGCTGCAAATTGTTCACTTCTGATCATCTTCTAAGAAATTACTAATGAGGGTGTCATCAATCAGTCTATCTGATGTCATATGATCACCTCTGATGGATCGTAGATATTGTTTAATGATACTTACCTTGTCCTGTGCCCAATGAAGCATAGATAGATAATCGTACATTTGTATCGTGTTCTTCCGGTGAAGAAGCATTCATTTCCTTAGCATGATCAGACCATGCAGCTAGCCATAAGTTGGACATAACACCGAGGATAGATGATAGAACATAAATTGATAGAAATATTAATGTTATCATATAGCCGATTGCATTTATATACGCCATATAGACTGTCCATTTCACCTGAATCATCCAATTAAACTAATAGAAAAACTGATTAACAGTTGAATGGATATAAAGAATCAATAAATGGATTCTATGAGAAATGCCATTGGACAACTGTCCCCAGACAACTGCCAGCCGGAATAATTGCCACCAGTGGACAGAAGATAGCGTAAAAGAGTGGGAAACTCAAAATTTCGACCGGATTAAGCTGAGCCCTAGGCTAATATTTGGGCTTAGATTGGTGCTTTGCCTTAGCCTCACTTCACACTAATGCTACTCAATCTCCGAACATTCATAATATTTAACATTGCTATATAGCGATTTTTGAAACAACTCTCTGAAACTGAGTGAATGACTGAATGAATAAATCGCATAAAGAAAAACGTTCACCGACTTTTCCGATTTCCACTCCTTCCTTCTCAATGAGCTTTGATTTTTCATTTGCACTTTCTGCAGCTGCTTTCGAATCTGCTGTTGCCAATAATAACTTTTCTTTTTCTGATGATAACGATCTCATCAAATCACCGCCATCTGCTCTTTTATGATCCAAATGAACAACTTCTTTTGTATTCACACTATTCAGTGAACGTGTTCCACTTTTATTACTTTGTTGACGCTGTATCATATCAACTCCTTTCTAAAGCAACAAAATTCATTCATTTAAAAATAATACTGAGAATAATAATAAATAAACAAACAAACACAGACCTTAACAGGCGAACTCGGTGAAGATGGTGTGGTGGAATGAGATCTGCATTCGTCATTTGATGCCTCCTCACTACTCGTATAGGTCACCGAACTCATCTGAGACTGAATTCTACGACTTTTACCGGGCGCATATCTTTCCAACTCTTTTAGCACTTCATCAACATCTTCGGCTGTATATTTTTATTAATGTAATTCAAAACAACGCAGCTATAACATGAGCACATTCAAAATTCAATCTTCGCTTTAAAATAAAGCAACTGAAAAGCAATGGAAAAACTGATACAAAACAACACCAGCGCTCACCTTGTTCACCAAAACTCACTGATCGCGCTCTATGTTTGGCCTCTTCAAGAAGAAATTCTTCGAGAAAATCTGCGAACGCTCCTTCGGATGCCATCAGCTCCTCATACGTCCCAATCTCGGATACTGTCCCATCTTAACTTTATGATAAAGTCTTGAAAAATAAATTTTTAGCTGCCAGCATACATTGACTCACTGACTGCAAATATGAATAAAATGTTTCTGTCTGTAATCAACATTACTATTACTATTTATAAATTAATGCTACTTGTCAATTACCTTTCAGAACAATAACTCGATCGCATCGCTTCAAATAGTGTAAGCCATGCGTCACCAAAAGGCGCGTTTTACCGGCCAATAACCCGCTTTTATTCGCTGCAAAAATTCATTTAGCGTGAATAAAATCTGGTGATTATTCACACACTCCACTCTCATTTCTTGGTAGAGCCATTAAAAATTTGGAATGAAAAGAAGAAAAATACGATAAAATTCACTGAGAATTTTATGGAATGAAGCAATAAAATCAAATAAAAAATAAATCGCACCAATGATATGCTCAAAAATGTGTTTTCCAACGTGAGCATCTACTGCAGATAATGGATCATCCAACAGTACTATATCACTGTTCGAATAAACCGCACGTGCTAGACTAACACGTTGCTTTTGACCACCGCTCAAATTTATACCCTCAAAATTTTCGTGGAAATTTTGTTATTTTTATAGTGAGAAAAAAATAAAGAGTTGAGAAAACAAAGAAACGAATGTACGAAATATGTTTAGAAGTAAAATTAAAATGCAACAATACTTTTTCACCAATTTCAGTATTATCACCGGCTGGAAGTGTGCTCAAGTCTTGTTTCAAAGCGCATCCCTCCATAACGAGATCATAAAATTCGGATGAGAACGATCGACCAAAAAGAATATTCGCTCTTAATGACATGTTCTGAATCCACGCTTGTTGCGGTACATACGCAACTGATCCCCTCAGTGACACTTCACCACTCTCTTTATCCATCTCACCTGAAAACAAAAAAAAACTCCTTGATCGCTGAATAAAGCTCTAATAGTCAACGAATAAATACCGAGTATTGCTGACAGGAGACTACTTTTACCACATCCAACGCTACCAACGATAGCAATTAATTCACCCTTTTTCACATTCAAATTTATATTTTTCAACGTCAATTCACTGCTATCCCACGCAAAATTTGCGTTTCTTAATGAGATCACATCATCTGAAATTTATCACAACATTAGCAATAACAATTTAACCGCATCATACCAAATCAACGAATGAATAATGGTAAAAAGAGGATAGAAGCAAACTGTGAACGCACACCTGATTTTGAATGAGTTTCTGAGATTACGTTTCGCATTTCATCATCAGCCAGAAATGATTTGAGACGTTTATTTGAGACGGTGCATTGAATAGCTTGACTGAAAATCATTGCAAAAACAGCCAGCGGGAATCTGAGAATGTTGAATAGCGATAGACCAACAAATGTGACTTGTGGTGTGAGCAGATTGTGGTGTGGATCAAGATTGACGTAAACACCGAACGTCAGCACGGCCACCAGGAATGGTGCGCATGACCATGAGAGTGTTATTGCGGCGTTATAGAAAGCTAACTTCTTCAACACACCGATTTCTTTACGACGAATTTCGAGTACCTCAAATACCTCTGCATTCAACATTCAGCAATCAGCATTCATTCATCCGCACTCCATACATCCATCGGGAAATGTACAAATATCAAAACAAACATGTTTATATATCCTAGAGAGCAGTGTTCTCACGTTTGGAAGCTGCATTTCCCTCTTCGATGATCTGGCAGACCGTCATTACCCTCACTACAAGAATTTACTGTTCCCACGCATATAATATCAGCAACAAATCAGAAACCGATCCAAAATTTCCTCAGTGACGTGAAATAAATTAATTTTCTCGAATGAAACAAGTATATTTAGAAATCAGTTAGAGAAAGAATTCAAACTTCAATAATTAATAACGAGAAGGAACATTCGTCAGAATTGAAATTTATCAATAAGTTCATTTATATTCTCAACTACCTCCCTGACACTTCCAAGTTACCCTCCAAGGGGCAATAGGAAACACTGCTATAGAAAGGAATATGGATGGACGGATAAATGGATGAATGCAAGGATGAACCGATGAGTTGAAAATTTCATTTTGATGATCTCTAGATGAAATCTCTGAAAGCAATCGAAGCGAAAACGAGAAATTGTTTCTTTGAAATGTTGCAGTTATATAAGTGTAACTAAAAGTAAACATTTCATGCAACCTTTCACTGATGACGAATACAATAAAAACTGAATGAAATATTTGTTGCTTTTATTTGTTTTCAACACGTTCCGACACCAAAAAACAAAACTCACAATTCTTTCCATACTATTCTCCCACGCATAAAGTTTCAATACTTTTATTCCATTCAGTATTTCCGACATCAATTTCAGCCGTTCATCTTTATATTTCATTTGTTGAACCTTAAAAAGAGAAACGAAAGAATTTTTGCTTTCCATAAAATACAACAGAATTTATGACTAAAACAATCCACCAACTTGACAATTTCGCATTTTCACAGAGATCCACGAGTTGAACGGTATCATTGCAATCAAAATGAACAATCCAGCAATAACAGATATCCCAAGAAGACGCCACAGAAAATATATTGAAAGAATCACCTCAAGTTTGTCATCATTCAGATTCGTATAAACATAAATAAATAATGCTGTCAAAAGGGATGCCTGCAATCACCTGCAAAGGTGCTGACCAAAACAGCATCACAAACGACGTCATGTCTTGGAATCGTTGTATATCCACTGACATTAAATTTACAATTTCACCGATCGTACGATTCTTACGTGCTGAATTCGATAATGACAACGCCTTAATTAACGAACAAACTAATACCAATGTCTCGATAGTAATCAATAACAATCAATTAATTTCATTATTACCACATCCTCTAACGAAAATACAACAAATAAAAAATCAACAGGTTATTACTAACTTTCGCGTAAACAGCTGATGTAAGCACTGAGCGTATATTCATACCTAATGTAAACATCGTATGGAAATACTGATGCAAAACCTGAAATATGTATAGTCAAAGTTAAAGGATTCAATACATAGCAATAATTACAAGAAACATCAAAATACCAAGAGTTGATTGAAAAACCGAATAGCTGGTGATCTATTAATCCATTAGTGCCCCCACTCAGTACCTTTGGTCCCAATAGGGAAAACGGAGTCTTTGTTGCGTATTTAATTCAAGACAACACTTCTACAATCGGTCCATACTTTACTTTTTCAGATGTTGATAAACATCGACTGCTTCGATCAAAGAAGTAAGGACAGTATATACTTAGTCATAATGAGGATGTGATTCATGAATGAATCATATGCTCACACAATAAATGAACCACTCACAAATGACTGAAATAGTGCTACGATAAACATCGCCATTGCAATCGAGACGCCCACCCAAAGCGGTTGACTTCTGTTTTCGGTGAATGAGATCAACTTACTGCAAATTAAAATTAATCAACTTGACACTCTCCTACTTCGATGAATCTCCATTTTAACCGCCGTTGCGACAGTCGCAATTCTGACCGACTGTCGGAATTGTTCGGTTCAAATGCGACCGACCGCATTGACATTTTGAATTTTTGACTGCTAAATTGGCGACCGACCTTCTAAATTGTTCGATCGGAAACCGAATGGGGGAATTCCGACCGAAATTGTCGGATTTTTCCGAGCGATCGCCGGTCATATGCTATCACAAATACAAACGAATAAAACAAGAGCGCAAAATGAATGGATCAACCTCAGCAGTTGTGGTGCAACAAACTGCAGAATATCAAAAATGAATTTAAGTGATGCACCGCCCAGAAATTTCATGAAATACGTTCGAAACAGAGGCCATAAAATCGATGGTGTGTCACTGTCGGTTAGAATCTGAAAGTATCTTTCTTCGATTCATCAACAGCAACCAAAACTACGCGCGCATTTCCGCATGTTCATCTTATTACAATCAAAACAAATAACGATTTCTGATATATGTAGATCTGAATGAAGATATATTTTTACATACGAATTTATATTCAACGTTATAAATACTTTATGTATTTATTCATAGACATTAAGACACTTGCTAATAGAAATGAACGACAATTTTTTTTAAACAACTTACACGAGGCGGGGTCTCATGCATTGCTGCTTGCTTTCGATCATAGTATGCTAGAGAAAGAAATACTTGAGAAAAATTAACAGCAACACATTAAAAGAAAAAATAATAATAATAATTATACCAGAGTCAACTATTGAACAAAAAAAATCATCCAATTCAACAACAAAACAAAAACGATATGTGTTTGATAAACAAATAGTCAAATGAAAATACAAAGCACATGAATGAATGAAAAACGAAAATGAAACAACCTTGTAGAGTTGGTTTCCAATTCTTGTTGAAGTCCGGCATTAAATTTCTCGATTCGTCACAAGTGTTCAATTTCCATAAATCGGAAACTTGTAGCGCTCGCTTGTTGCCTTTAACGGCCAACTGATGAAACCAATTGAATGTGATCTGATTCAAAAACGAACTCGACTCTTCTGGACACATCTTTTTCTGAAACAAAAACTCCGATCAAACATGATCCATTCATCGTCATAATGCAAGTAACGCTCAATCACTTACGAATTATCAATACCATTTCTCATTTTCGTATCCAAAATGAATTCGCATATGAAGAAAACAAATTTCATCAATCAATTTACAATTTATATTCTAAATGAAATTAAAAAGAAAACAACTCACGTCAACAATTTTATATTTAGGTGTATCAGCGAAACACGATAAAACTAACTCCAAAACAATCAATGGATATGATAATAAACATAATAATAAACGACTGCTACTCATTCTTACTACATCATCCTCCTCCTGAAACCAATTAACAAATTAATTTAGTTTACATTTTCTTCGCAAATATTTCTCATTTTCTATCACATACTAAAATACAATAAATGTATATAATGAAAGCATGATCAGCGAATACATTAATAATAATAATTATTATTATTATTATTGTTATCATTATTATTACAACAATAATAATAAGTGAATGAATAAAAATTTTCTCACTTGAGTATTATGACTGGAATTGAGTACTTCGATGCAACGCTTAAATTCAGGAAATGCACAGATAGTGAATAAAAGCCAAAAGTTGAAAATAACACCAGACGTGACGAGACCGCGATTACGACAAGCTATCATCAGAACGAGTACCAAACAAATCGACAAATACTGGAATATCTTCGGAAACAGCGATAGAATTGAGTCGTTTGTTCGTGTGAGACCAACTTTCCACTCGTATAAGCTGTTAAAGAATGAGACAGCACTGAGACACGACAGCATTATGCAAATAATCTGCAATGTGAAATGTTATTAGTCGATGACAATTATATCGAATGAAGAAAATCAACGCAAAATAGATACGATTCTGGCGATTGTTGGTGAACAATACTGTAAAGAGCCATTGTCACTTTTACTGAGACGATAGAGCACGAGCGGACACAGCATGAATATAAACAGTGACGGTATGAAGACCAGGACGGTTGATTGCGCACATTCGGAGAGATGTGGCAACGACGTCAGATTCGGATTCGTCTCCAGGAACTAAAACTGAGATTGAGTAGAACAAGTGCTGTATAACTCTCACTTCAACATACCTCCTCAACCGAATCCCCCCTCCCTCCCACTCCCCAAGTTGTAATAGCACTTCGATTAAGTACCTCCTAAAAATAACGGCCTGCTTTTACTTAATCGCTTATGAATTGCTCACATTTGCTAAGTTTCTCATGACAATATTTTACGAGAATTGTCAGTTCATGAGATATTAAAAGAACTCAGCTCTTTGAAATAGAATTATACAATACTTCCTAAACAAGAATAGTATATTCATTCCAGTTTATATTCAGAATTACAAGATCATACACAATTATTGTGAATGAACGAATGAATTTCACTCACCTCAAAATGATCTTGCGCACAAAGATATCGTGCAACTGTATCCATTCTTATCCAAGCAAGCGAGTAACTTTGTGGTTCTTGAAGAAATCACTTCAAATAGCAGTAATATTAAAATCCTGAATGCTGCCTTCAAATATTAAAGTGATGAGAACAGAGGATGCTGGACAATAATCGCACTTCGATAGAATCAACATCAAACAATCATGAAGATTGATAAAGTTGACTGCAAATAAAAAATATATACATGAAACAATCACAATCAACAAATACGAATTCGACGCATTCATATTCAGTTTGTTGATAATCATTCACACGATAATAACAACAATGACGATTTCACAGTGCCTCAACTGCTATTAGAGTGGTGATGAAAAAATGGGACAATATATATTAAAATGATTCACATTTCACAGAGTAAATAAATACCCGTCATCAATTAAGAAAAACCACAATAGAAAGCACCAAAATAAAGTACCTTATAGTTAGCGCCCTAAATATAAATCTACCTCAATTCAGTCCCCAACCTCGAATTTTTTCTCCGCTTCCCTTAACAGTTGCCAAATTGCATAAACCTTTCAATTCAGTACCCATTAAAATTTTGATTTATGGACATAAGTTTTTTAGATTCACTGAATATCTTATCACAATATTTTCACAGCTAATGAGTTATTAAAGGAACTGAACACTTTGAAATAGGACAATATAGTGTATGAAATACTCGCTGAACAACAATATATGAAGGAGAAGAAAATGTGAACCTCGATTCATTCCCTTATTAGGACTTTCTCCTCCCATCTCCTTTTCCTCCGATCGCTTGTCAAGTTGCATATTCCCTCCCCTCAATTTAATCCCTACCTCCGAATTCTCCTTCAAAAACTTTGGATACTACACTCACCGGGTTGTATCTTCCAGGTTATATGCTACAGCACAACTTCAATATAATATGATTTTTTCCACTTCCCTATATTCTCTTGTTGAGAGACTATCCTATTTTTATCAGAGATACAAATCCGGCTTATTCTGGTTGATTGAATCTAAGCCTGTTATTAAATATTTGGAGACAAAACAATCTTTCGATGATTTTAGGTCGTTACCGTTCTGCTGGCGAACAAGAATAATGCGTTTAATGGAATTGTTTTCACGATTCGGTTTACTGTTTATGGAGAATATGAAAGACTTGGGAGATGAATATCTTGGTTATGATATGAATGGTGTTGCAGAGTACACGAAGAACGAAGAACTCTAACTGTGATATCGATAGCCTTTCTTGCTATTGCTGAAGTTGTACATTTTCTTCTGAATACTAAACGTGTGTGTCCTCATTTTCATAGGTCATATCAAAACGTGGCATTGAGTTAAGGAGTTTGTGGCAGCTTGCTTTCAATCCTATTTGATTGCTTTAGCTAATTAATTGACTTTGTCAAGGTAACCTCTATGACTAGAACTAGTATTGTTTGGCATGATTGAATTGATCTCATCTCAAACATGACTGAATTAATTTGGGATGATTTTACAAACTTGCATTTCCTCTTGTTCGATGATTTGTTTTCTAATCGTGATATGTTCAGATTAAAAACACTGAGTTATGTTCTAATTTAAGAAACTGCTCAAGAACATTACAACTGCTTATTTGCTAGCAAATTCATGACAGAACTCATTATCAAATCCAGAATGTTACCATTATCCTTCATACATATGTCGATGCAGGTTACCACCAAAAAGCCACTTGGCAAAATACTTGTACTTGCCAATGAAATTATAACTTATTTCAATCCGATCGCTTCCTGGATGATCAAAATCTTCAACTATGACTGTTTTTGTAGATATATCGTATCGAAAAGTACTATTAGCAGGTTGTGTTGTTTGCAGTTGACTGGTGCTCGTCAAACGCTTATGATATTGCTTTATTAGCTTCTCTGAAATTAAGGATTTGGATTCACAAATCAAGAGAACTTGATTCAGCTAATGATGATTTTTACTTGTGACCTATCAGCGTACCTACAACTTCCCTTGGACGCTGTACTGTTGAATATGAACGATAGACATCGAAGGCATGGCGAAGTGATGATTCAACATTAAGACAGTTCTCAGAATTGGTTCATAATCCGATTATACACATTATATAAAGTTTATGATGTTCCACAAAAAATACGAGGTCATTTAACTTGTTTCTGATCGATCCAATATTGACAAGAATATAACGAATATTATACATGGAATGGCCATTTCAAGTAATAACAATTTTCAACTCACGAAGGAAATAATTCAATTGCATCGCTTAAACGTTCATTTTTTCTGCTTTCATACGCAACTCACGATTCGCACTCAATCCTTCTTCATTATAATATCCCTTCATGTAACAGTAAGGAAGGCATTTAATCTGAATTAACCTCTCGAAATTAACATAATTTAAAAACTCATCTCATATGTGCTCCGATGAGATTGCCATTTTCAACTGTTCAAAGGGTCCAGACCCAACATCATACGATGGATGGCGATAAGTTGCTAGATTGTCTGCTTACAGTCTTGAGTAGCTTCGGATTGTGACCAGGAACGAGTAGATTCATCGACCACTGAATAACCAGCTTCAATGCTATCAACATTGGTAGTCTAGTGAGGGAAATCAATGAATACACAGCGTTTTTGCTTTTTCTTGTGATAGGATAGTATCCAGCAAATGTACAATAACGGATTACAGACGTTTCGTCAACATTTTACAGATGAGCAGAACTTTTTACAAATTCAGCGAGCAAATTTGTGACATCACTTAATTTGGCGAGATTGAAAGATGGCATTTCATTTTGTTTAGGTGCATTGGTGGAGTTTCTGCGACCAGTTTGAAAACTGAAACAAATGTGCACAGATTCACCAAATGTTAATTCATCAAATTTGCCACATTACGATGCCTAATACTTAATTATACTAGTGAATATGTTCATTTATTCATACAAACAAGGGGATTTTTATTTATTCGCGCATTTTCGTAACTGCGAGCTTTGAACGAATCTCTTTTTGGATGGTCGTCAATGTTTGCACAGTCGTTTCAATTCCGAATATCAGACAAACACCATTAGAGCTACGTCTCCATAGCGAGATAATGTTTAAAAGTAATGAAATTTCTGCAAAATATCTTCAAGCGTTGCACTAAACACTCTGAAGAACTATACAAACTGTTCAATGCTAGAGTATATCCAATAAGAACTATACATATTCATATTCGCCAGTAAATTTTCTGCTGTGACTGCTAACAGGAAAAGTAAAAAATTGTGGATGTGTTGTAATTTCGGGACAGAATAAACACTATCAATTCTTAACATTCATCTTATGTTAACGACAACAACAGTGAATGTGGTAATCATAAAACCTGAAGTAAGCACCACAATCAGAATTTCATTTTTTTCGTTTACTCAACCAATAATTTGCTATTTGCACAATGAACAATCAAATAAACATACACGCACACATAAAACATCCTCTTGCTTTTTTTCCATTCTTTAAAAATTTATTTGAATTTTTGCGAATGGTTACCTTCATATTCAATCAGTTTATAGTAGTGATGAACAAGAATCTGATTCAATTTTAGATTGTCTTCAAATTTACGTAATCTCACAGTTAGATTCACTTTGTGTGAAACCTAAGAAAAATGATCTTTTAAAAATATTCTTTCTAACAGGAAAAGTAAAAAAATTGTGAATTTTGCAGTATAAAAAATTCGTTCATCAATACTAAAGCAATATCGACTAGTTGAATGGAAATGGAATAAAATGTTGATAAATGTTAGAATGAAGGTAGCAGCGTTATGCTATTTAAACTACGTTATCATTCTAGTTCGAAGCAATCCGATTCTTTCATGGACTGTAAGATTATTTAATAAAGCAGAAATGCAATTATAATAACCTCGAATAAAAATCATCTAATGACCAATCTAGAACCAATCTTACCGAGCGCAAAACTACAACGATCGCTATAATCGTTATAGTGACGCACATAACAATAAAATTCTTCGAAATCATGTACAATTACTGTGATCACAATCTGGTTCTGGTTAGTTTCCTGGTAAATGAATAAACACGAAAGATTTGCACGACGATCAATAGCGACACAATACCACAATCCTACAACGCAATAAACAACAATTGACAAAAATATAGCAGAAAAAATGCAACACGTCCTCAAAATTGAAGTTGACCTTCAAAAACCAGTTCATTGAATTCATCAGTCAATTGCCATTCCTTCACCATCACATTCCTAACCCCTAAACTAAACATTTTCTGGAAACATCTGACGCAGTCGCCAATGATAACACATCATTGTGTCTTAGATGAATAATCGGATCTCATTCAAATTCATAGCGTCCATCACCTATTATGTTCACTTCAACAATGCACTACCATTTTAGCATCTTATTGGCTGATTTGCTTCGTAAAAGTAACAACAGCAGTAGGCGGTAAGCATTTAATTTATATCTTGAGCAGTTCAGTTTCTAATTGAAAGCATGATTAGTACTAGTGTGGTGTGGGCATGGAATTTTCCAATCGGGGACCATTAAAATGCGGTCGATTCAAAAATTGTCGGGGACGGGGTCCCCGATCTTCGCATCACACTAATCAGTACATATGAATGATGTTCACTGATCAAGAGCAATGTAGAAGAAGACTATTAACGAGTCAACATTCAGCAGTTGATTGAGTCGACCGTTTGCCATAGCGACAAGACATCGATGATGAACAGCAAATAACCATCATGCGTTTCATGTCTAATAGCCGATTTTAATACAGCAAAAAATCGTTTAATTCCTTTTCGTTGAGTCATTTCAATACAGAATGAATGACGTCACTGTTTTCAATAGGTTTTGTTGAACGTTTGCAATTTTTGTAGCCCGACAAACAGGGAGCAATATTGTGTGGAGATTCGCTAATTTTCATCTATAAACGAGTGTTCATTTTTTGCAGCATTGAGATATTTAAAATTTATATTTGTGTTGCGAAACTGAGAAAGTATTAAATTCGAACTCTCTGCTTCGCACGGAAGCATGTCCGTTTCTCTCCAATATCGTACTCTCCACATTCTCTAGTTTCAGAAAGGTACACGTGTTGTCGCACGATTTTGTTTCCTCCAAGTAATGATGAGGATTTTCTAAAACCATCTCACGTAGATGAGCCACTCATTCCAATACATTGTATATGCATAGATCAATATGTAGAAGGAGTTAGCAACATCACGATCACCATCTTCAAAGTATCGGTACGTATGTACTCTGTCGTAGACACCAAAACAATCCGAAGTGACCGTTTGTTATTCGAAATGAGACCCATACAAAATGTACGAAATGTACAGCTGTTTATATAGTACTCTTATGTAAATTCTTACTTAATTCATTCAACATTCTCAAACGTAAATCAAAGTATGCAATATTACGTCCACCATCATATTCTCCTGATTCTCTAGTTTCCGAAAGACATATATGTTGTCGGGTGATACTGTTTCCTGCGAGTATGTCAAGGATTTGCTGAAACTATCTCACGTAGCTGAGATGCACAGTGTGTTTGCATATGCAAGGAATCAGCAATATCACGATCAACATTTTCCAACTATAACGGTACTCTCAGGTTTGCATGCACATCACAATTTTAAAACGCATCAGAAGTTAGCGAATAAGCAATAAGCAAGTCATAAAATATCCTTCAAACATACATAAAAAAGCACTTATATAATATATATTCCGAAACTCAATCACTCACACACTATGTGAAATCCTCAAATAGCATTCCCACGAGATTTAGCTCGTGTCAATCTCAAACACTTGCATTCGGTCTGACTCGCACAAATCGAAACTGAGCTGAACATTATCATGAAAAACACAAAAGTTCGAAACTTGAAATGCGTAAAAAACAAGTCGATGCCAATATTCAGCGTTAAGCTTGCGCCTAGAAATGATATACTTCAATGCGTTGCAGTGCATGTCCAGTTCAGAAATGAATGCTCTCCGCAATATTCTGGAACATTATCGTTCATTTTGAGAATTTTAAACAAATACTTTCATATAACTAGTGGACAGGATGCGCGCTTAAATTTAATGCGGAAAACTTTAGCAGATTTTGATTGTTTTTTCCCTCTCATATTATCTTCCATTGAAATGTACCAGATTTAACGTCATATTTATGACACTTTATTAAGTGACTTGTTTGATTGTTCGTTACACTGAGGATGGTTGATAATTTTGAGATTGGTCTTTGGAAAGAAATTTTTTTTTCAATTTATGCTATGGTTTGACCGAGGGATCCTTATTTTTCGAGATATATATTCATTTAAAGAAGCGTCGAACGAACGATTCAGTTCATCAATCAAACGAGTAAATAACCGAATAAATAAACAAAATCAATTGTTTCACATATTAGTCATTGTTGTGCATGCGTCAAATTTCGTCGTCGAATTCTATTCTTGCATTCGTTCTTCTCATCCTTATTCGTCATCTTCTTCATGTTCATCAATCAATCAGTTCATTCTTCCCAAAACATTTTTTATCGTTTCTGATTCAGTCAATCACTTGTGCATCACAGTGCTACTCCTCTCAAAGCATTATCTCAAAATTTTCGATCAATTTTATTTCCAAACCACTACTGTTACGCCATTATTGTTCACTTTGCGCAATCTCTATTTTTTCACTACCTAACGAGGCAAGTCAAAAAACGCTCATCATTGCGATTGTCCATATACTTCACTTATAGCAGCTAACTTAAAACAACAATTACTTTCCAAGCATATCCTATTATATGGAACGCGCACTTCACAAATTACCTTATGCAAACACAGCCTTTCCAAAACTATTCAGGCGATGAAGGCGCTGCTCGGAAAATATTTATCACTCGAAACAATCATCAGCTCGCAAATTACTGATTGCTTATCGCATTCTTATTATTATTACTGTTATTATTGTGATTCTTATTGTTATTATTATCATAAGTATGATTCGTGTTTTCATTATCAAGGTTCTCATCGAGCGTTTACAAATGCATCTGTGTCTACAACAACGTAAATTGAGTCGACTCGCATGCTGTCAATTTATACTCCTTATCAATGAATCATCCAGGTAACTAAATACTTAAAACATACACAGCTGAATGCTTCATCTTGATCAACAATGTATTATATACTGTTTACGAGTGAGTTGCTTGAGGTGATCGTTTAAGGCTGATTGCTCTAGCAATGAGTTAATCGTATCATTGCTCGATTCATTCTAGACTACCATTTTGCGACGATATCGATCTGGCTTCTTTCGACACCACTGACAATCAAAATTTGACCGATGTAAGTAATGTTTTTAATGTTACTATTATTAGTATTGTTATCAGCAATATTAGTATTATTATTGTTATTATTATTATTACTATTATTATCAGTATTATTATTACTATCATTATTATTATTACTATTTTATTGTTATTATTATTATAATCGTCATTACTCCTTTGTTTTTATAACTGTGATTGTATTATTTGGAGATAATTGGAATAGATAATGGTATAACAAGTCGACGTTATTTAACGGAACCAACGAATATAGCTGAAGATCATTTGACATTCGCATTTGGAATTATAATTTTATTTGCAACGGCTGTTTGTTGTACGATGGTTGTTTCACGGTTGTCGAAGCCTCGGTGCGTTCGTTCAATAGTTTTACCCGGACAATGAGAAGAGCTGGAGCAATATAGATCTGTTTTATTGTTGTAGACGAAGACAGCTCACAAGTGTCGAATTTACAATATGGATTCGATGTGGAAAGAAGCTGAACCGAACGTCATATAATATGGATAATAATAAGAACAGCAATCCTATTAATCGATCAAAATATATTCGTAATAATGGTAATATTCCACATATTCATATCATCATCACCAACAATAATAAAAATGACTAGTATGTTGCTAGGACAGCAAAAAGTCGGGGACGAAAATTCGCAGTTTGTGACCCCGAAAATGCAGTCGGCTCGAATAAAGTCCGGGACGAAGAATTGAGGACGGGGTTCTCGAAACCTCCTGATCCCCGCAACACATCAATAGCAAGAATGACAATAATAATAATAATAATAATAATCACAACAATAACAATAGTAGTCGTGCAGTTGCTTATCATGATGATGTTAACGGCAGTACTGTTGTCGGCAATATGAAACTTAATCGGCTAGCTGCATTTGTTTTTACTCACGATCAGCATTCTGGACGAGAGACTTTGAATAGCACAACGAGAAGAAATTTAGGGTTGTTAGCATTGGTCAGAGAAGGATTGCGAGTATTTGCTCGAACAAATTCTTCACAAGAAAGCACTCATTATGCAACGCACTTGGTAGAACGATTAAATTGTGGACGTCGCCGTGAACATCATCAGCAACTTACATCACCGGCGGTCATTTACGATTTGAAGTGAGCAATTTTGTGACGATCGATCACCTCTGACTATTTGCTTCAAGTTTTGAAATCGTTTAACATTTCAGTGTTATCAATGATGTGTTATTACCTGCTACCGCACTCGCACCTCCATCGTATCGGAACGTAACAACATCAACAATATTCAATTCTTACTACTGCGATCGCTGTTCATCGCAGTCGTCATATAGTCATAGTCAAAAATGCACTTATCCACCGCCCGTTTATAACGAGGCGACAACAGTGAATAGCGAACGATATCCACTGGTTGAAACGATGAACCATGGATGAAGATATTATTCGCATGAAAGTGCTGGAGCAGGGGCACGGGTACAGAAAATAGCAGCAGTGGAGACGATGAATTAAATTACGATGAAAATTAATGAGCAGAACTGATTTTTTGAAAATTCTGTTCAATTCATTATTTATATCATTTGCAGCAATGGCTATACATAGTTATTATTACTGTTATTATTATTATTGTTATTATTATTATTACAATTGTTTTTATGCATTTCCATTTCTTGTACCTTTGCTATATTGTCGGTACGTTTGCAAGCACTTGGCAACGTGAACACAGCAATAATTGTTTATTCATTATTTTTATTGTTGTTATTTTCACTGATTTGACTCTTCTTAATCATGAGAAAGTTTACGAAAATGAGGACGATTGGCAAATGACAATTAATTGAGAAATCAAGTTGGGATCTTCACAAATGCGATGAAAATGATCCGGACTGAGGAAATTTTTCATCATAATTATTATTGAGAACGATGCTTGACGGAAGGAATCGATCAATGGCCGCACAGTTACTGGTTCTAGTGCTATTACTAGTGTCGCTGATAGTCGCATTATCGTTGTTATTATCGTTCGCATTACTATCGTTATTGTGATGCAAATGATCCATAATGGAACAAGTTTTAGCTGCAGCCGTATCGGTTGATATGATTGGTGAGAATGACGATGCAGTTGCAGTTATATTTGCTAATGCTCCGCTGATTATTAAATCCATTAAATTGTGCGATGTGATATTATATTCTGCCATTAGTTGACGTAATTCGAGTAAGAATTTCGATGGCGACTTTGATAATGGTAATGACGATGTCGTTAATGAGGACGATAATGAATTGTTGCTATTTGCTTTTGTGTTACTGTTGATGAGGACGTTTGGGTATAAACCTAAGCCTGAGCCTAGATCTACGCGTCTAGTACTGTTACTGCTTCTGATGTTGCTAATGCCGTCCAAGCGAGAAAATTTTGAGATCATTGAGCAACCGGGGCCAGAATCGATCGGGCTTGGGCTGGAATAGCTAAACGAGGTACCGCTGAACTGAACTGCTGAAGTTGATGCAACTGCGTAGCAATTCAAGCAACAGCATTTAGTTGTTGAGGTTGAGCACGTTCGGGTAGTCATCGATGAGGAGCACGTATTGGAGGTAGTATTTGTTGTGATCGGACTGCTGACAGCTGCAGCTCTAGTGGGTTGTTCACTGCTTGAGCAACGACAACTAGTTGAATAAATAGGCAGGTAGTAACCAGAAGTTGAACAGTTGGATGCAGATGCTCCATGATGGAACTGTGGAAGATGTGATGCAACTTTAGTGGGCAGTGCTGCTGATGAAGAAGATGGTGTTACTGAGCATGAAGATGGAGTGGAATAAGATAGGGAACAATTTGAAGCGGTCATCGTCAACAATGGAGGATGGTGCTGCTGAGCAGATGACAGGTTCAGGCTAGCAGCTAATGGACTAACAGCAATTCGCTGATGATGAATGCATTGGCTAGCATGTTGAGCTTGAGTGGTCAGGATAAGATGGTTTTGTTGTTGTTCGGTTGTTGGTGGTGGTGCTGATGTTAGCTCTTGCTGACTTACATTTGGCACGGAAACATTTAAACAGCAATTGGATTGTTGCTGTTGAACAATATCTTGTTGCTGATTCAATTCAAATGAGTAATCATCATTCAACGTTTCGTCGTCCACTCGACACGTAACAACCGCCACTCGCAATGCAGTGAACCTTCAATGTTATTTTTCATTCACTTATTTTTCAACAAAATCAAAAGTTTTTTAAACACTTTTTTTGTTTGTCGTTACTGAAAGAAAGCATCTTGATAGGTACTATACCAAATATCCAATAGAAAAATATCAAACCAGACCGTATGTGCTGCATGGAGTCCACATTACCAGTATGTGTAACATTCGAACAAACATCTCGACCCTCAAAGATCTCACCAGATGCAGCCAAATTATGCGTTGAAAGTACCTCAGCGACTGGTACCAATATATTATTTGCGCTTAGAATATATCTCACCTAGAATGGCAATTCAATCAAGTGCTACCGAATAAAAATAATTACAAACTCAATTACCTTTTCAGCGTTGGCAATATCCTTAACATAATCGAGCAGTGACTTAGCTTGAAGTCGTTTAAGATCAAGTGGTTCCAAATGAACAATTGAATGTGTTGTGGTTGTTTTGATTGAAAAACAAACACTGCCACCAGTGATAAATGATAATCGCATGCACATTGTATTTTCATGCAGCTTCAGCACCTCGCAGACCTGATATATTAATCGGCTAATTTGCACATGACCCAATGAGAGATTGAATGAGCGATTCGGCACTGACCTGTTCAAAGTCGACAAAACCAAAAATGAGCTCAGCTTGCCAGAGCTGCCGAACAGTAGTGCGATGATCTTGAAAAATTTGTAGCAATTCCAACATTCCACGCCAAACGCTGAATCGAACATTCACCGATCCACATTCATAACGCAAATGAGGACATAGCATATTCTTAAATGTTATCCGTCGTTCACAACCAGCATCTATAATATGACATGCGTCTAGTGAACCATCTCTATGCTCTGCGTAGTTCACACATAGAAATCTATGAAACACTAACTCGTAAACGCAACAGGCAATGACGAATCGCAATCATGACAGTGCATTTTATGCTGTAACAATGCGAAATCAACGTTTTCAAAGCCACGCTTCACTTCAGCATTCACTCGAAAATATTGACTATATAAATACTTGAACCGTTCCCATGAGATGCCTACAAAATCAAAATCTTGATTTTTCAAACGTGTAAAACAAACGTCATTCATTTATTCCCATTGTTTATACATGTATTTTTTACAGATTGAAAAAATGACAAAAAAGGAGAGATAATAAGAGAATCGAGAAACTTCTGACTAAATGAATGAAAAAAAAATAATGAGAAAAACCTTCTCTTACTGACCACTTTCTGACCAGGTAATAAGGAGGCCGTTTTGTATATTTATGCCGTACAACCAAAAACACGTGGCTGTATAGGAGCTCATCATTCGCTGAACTTGACAGTCCTTTAAAGAATATTAATAGTATATTGATTGTGATTTGACTGAGAAATACTTTCAACTGAAACTATCGACCTGATTGCGTCGAGTTGCAATGGTGAACGGTAACGATAGTGTGTGTGAGGTGGCCATACCACCGCCAGGACTAAAGAACGTCGCACGTATGTAAAAATAGAACAAGGGACGTTTACCGATTTGTGTCGACCTCGAATCCAGTACTGAATCCTGAACAAGAAACAATCAAGTGCAACCAACTGCAAGCGTTTTTATCATCATCGCCTTCAAAATGCACTCAAGTAATATTGCTGAAGTAACTGAATACTCATAGATGTACCTTCTGTCTTGTTGTACATAACAAATGCGGGTATGATCCCGACCAAAATTGATGCTTACTATTGTAAATTGGTGTGATAAGCACTGATTCTTTGCTGTTAACGTCGGATTTTTTATGCGCTGTATTTCCGCCTTCTGTAATTTGTATTATTCAACAAAAAAATGGCCATCTAATCTATAATGTTAACATTCATAATATTAGTATCATTAAAAACAAGAAGAATACCAATAATGCTTTGTTAATTCTTCTTCACCGGTAAATCAACCGTTATTTTTTTCACCATTGTAAAAAGGCGGTTCATTCAATAAGTATTAATTGCGTCCTTCAATTACCTGCCGAAACAGTGGCATTATTGCGCTTAACGCCTGTAGCCGGTTTCATGGCTAGGAGGGCGGCAGATGGAAATGTCCCAATTGCACCAGGACATTGAAGAAGCTTTTGTTTTCGTATTTCCATCTGAAAATGGTGATTACAAACTGGAAATGCGATGCGCCATGAACGCAGTAACATCTACTGATTTGTAATCACTCGAAAGAGTGGGCAAGGGGTTCTCATCATATAGTAAACTGACAATTGTCATGTTAAAGAACCTGTATTTGATAGGCAGTTTCCTCAGAAACGACTTGAATCTGAAAATCACGAAAAATGACACCACGTACGAGTGCACCACATTGCATTGGGAATAGATTATTGGTGACCAGTATAGCGTTTGTGCTTGGTTCAGTGGCTAAACATCCATCACTGACCAACAACTCCAACGCAGTGAATACCATCGAGACAAGTGCATAGATAGGGTCGTCATCTACCAAAACATTCCTTACGAGCGTTAGTTCGTAGCGAAATCCCTTTAAATGTAGCATGAATAGTGTTTAAAAAGATCTATCCCTCCGCATAGAATCGGATTCCTTTCCTTGATCTGTTCTAGTAAACGGTAACTTTGCCTATTGGAAGATGTTTGCGTATAGTATGTGTTTGTTTTGCTGTATGTGTTTTGTTGCCATGTATATATTGAATTTAATTCTATTTTTAAAGAATAAATATTGAACTGAATAAGAATTATTACTGTTTTTATAAAGCACAACATCAGGCGAATGTACCTGTAAACGAGCTGCCAAAATACCAAGTGTATAGATCATATTTGTATAGAAGGCAATTAGTGGTTCCAACGAAAGTACCCTATAATCGGTCATTCGTTGCACTTGTGCCGTGCGCACACATCGCCATAATCGTTCTCCTTGCTGGAATCTATTTGGTTTGATATACAGAATGCGTGAGTGAAACTGATCAGAGAGATAGATATTGGCTTAAGCCAGGGTTTCTCAATCGGGGGTGCTGGAGCCCTTAAGGCGAGTGAGATGGTATTCCAGGGGTTGTGATATAAGCTTTCATTTTGTGTGCATTAAAGTAGGCGCGGATAGAGTTTGATGCTCTTATGCGTGTAAAGGATGATTTTTAACGCATACATTTTTGTAAAAACTAGAACGCACTCTTATGGTAAGCACTTATCCACACTACAGACATTCACTGTAGCGGATGAGAGATACAGACTGGAGTTGTGAGAGGTGCGAGGACATTTCAGCTGTTATTGTGCGAGGACATCTTAAAATTTAATAGGCGGTGCGGGGGAAGAAGGTCGAGAACTACTGGCTTAAGCGAAAGTATTGCAAAGAAATATTTTTTTTAAAACTTTCATATAAGTATATTTCGTTCTGATATAAATTCCAGAATGTGAATGCTTAAAAGATCAAACCTGATTCGAGAACTCTCTGAAAGCTTCAATACATAGTCGTAGTTGTGTATCACCAAAAGTCACTAAATCTGCTACAAACTCATTAACATCACCGTTCATTGTCACTGAATCAAGCATTGAATAGAAATTATGGAGTGTATGAAGAGTTTGACCGAAATACTGCAATTTTATTTGCTTTCAGATGAATTATTATGATTATCTCTTGATTGATTATGGGTGAAAGTGGTTGGTAATTTAATTACTGAGTGGGTATAAATGAGATCACAAAATGCAGTGTGATGCTAGATTGTGAGGTCAATTTTTTCGAATGAAAATTTACTCGCGTTTCCTCACTAGCTGTTGTGCCCATCCTTATGCCCTCCATGCCTCAAAATTTTGGAAGGTGAATAGGAAAATAAACGAGAGATTCACGATTACGCCTCTGAGCAGCGTATCATTGAACAGAGCTGTGAAAACGGTAAAAAGTACCTGAAAGAAGCGTTTGTAACAATGATCAGAGTCACTGACACCAGGCGGTGGTCTTATTGGATACGCATCATTAACCAACTTAACAAGTGCGTTATTTAGTCGAGCAAGAATCAAACGTTCTTCATCGCTCGGTAATGATGTAACACGGCTAGCTGTTCCAACATAGAAACCACCCGGTTGAAGACGCATCGTTATGCACAGAACACTCCATGTTAGCACTGACCATTCCTCGAAAAATTTTTGCGCATTCTCTGATTCTGAAAATTTTTAGCGAAAAGCGATGTATTTGTTCATTGATTTATGTGAATAGTTGTGTTCATGCACAGACAACAACGTCATGAACGCATCCAAATCATATTTCTCACCGATTGTAAAATCAGTGGTCAGTACAAGAATGCGTTGATCGAGTTCCACCAATAAACGATATATGATCTTTCGTATCGCTTTCATCTTCTCAACTTCGCCAACAACGTTTTCACCTGGTCTCGTGTTAGCGCCATGCCAGGCACATAACTGCAACTATGTTTCTTCAACCAGAAAGTCAACTCTTATCATGTATACTAGTTTTTGTATATTTGTTTGTTTACATGCAAATATCATTCATAAATGACATGTTCCATGTCGTGCCCAACCGTCCGTTTTACATTCAGATGATTGCATTACACAATAATAACTTCAATAATAACTTTCTCTTGCTGAGTTTTTATTAAAACATTGCAGTTTTATGAAAGCATTTCAATATCATTTTAGGCGTCACTATTATTACCATCATTATTTTGATGATTGCTGGTCTTATTATTATTAGGAACAACATTTTTGTTATTGACACTACAGGTCACAAGCAACTTACAAGCTCATACATAAGCTTTTGAAAAGACTCAGCGTTTGAAAATGAAGATGCTCCTTTATCTAGCGTCATTCCTCCTATATACCATCTGAAAAAGGGAAAAATTTTCGATATTCTAATCAAAAATAAACAGTCATCGATATAAATACATAGTGCACTCTTGAATTGAATCGCTTTATAGAGAATGTTATGAGCACATAATAATAACAACAATATAACATATATTATCAATCTGATAACAATATTCATAAAATAATAATACAACATCAGTCATAATAATATCGACAATGATCATTTTATAAAACGTCAATAGTAATATGAAAATAATAACTGCTTAAAAGAGCAATCAAAATACTATGTCAACTAATGAACGCTTCTATTTTCAAACGTGACAGATAGAACGACACTCCTTGAATTCCTGAGCAGTTTTATTTTATTGCGTTACTTCTACTTTTTCATCAATCAAAACAATGAAAACATACTGATAATGGCAATAATAATGATAATAATAGTAATAATAACAATTTTTATTATTAGTATTATTACTATAACCATTATTATTATCATTATTTTTATTACTATTACCATTATCAATACCATTACGACCGTGAACAGTAGCATTTCGAAAGACCTGTAATATTTTGAAACAAATTGAAATGCTGTAGAGTTGATTAGTGAGAACGTTTGATCATAGTGATTGCTGATCTCCGAATATTGACCTATCTATATTAATACTAATAATGATAACAGTATTGATGGCAATAAAAAGAAAGATGGTAATAAAAACAATAATGATGATAATAATGATAATAATAGTGATGACAATAATGATAATAATAATGATGATAATAATGATAATAATAACATTAATAATGATAATAATAATAATAATAATAATAATAATAATAATAATAATAATAATAATAATAATAAT